TGGAGATTTCATTTTCGTCCGCGCGATCATGAAAGATAATAAACTGTTCACGAAATAATAAATATTATAAATGTGCGCGTATATTTTAGATAACAAATCGTGCGAAGTATCTCGTTATTGTCATTTGTGAAAAAAGTTATCAAATTTTACACAACGTGTTTCATAGTTATGACTTTTTAAGAATTTTTTTTCATACATCTACGTCTTTGTAAATAGTAAAAATATTAATTGCAAACGAAGTTTTTATTTTTTTAGCGAGCTCTTTCGTGCGCTATATTTACACTGGTATAACTGCGAGTGGCACGTGCCGTTTTTATCATGATGGAAATGACGAAATCCATATAGATGTTAAAGAAATCGTGGACTATCTTATTCACGATAATCGCGATAGTACAACGATGTAGTCGATAAATGTATCGTCGCTATGATTGCCTCGCCAAACATATTAATGTAATGCGTGTCGTATAACGGAACGCTGTCTATTAAATCCTTAATTATTCGGAGAAAATAGTACAAGTTGCGATTTAAAAATAGGCATAGCCTTCCGACTTTGGATAAGTTTTTCTTAGAATTATTACCGCATCACGAGGACTTTGCCCCTGATCTTTGTTCGTAAATACAACGCATTTTTTCATCTTGGACTCGGGATGACAAATATTATTGAGGTAACATGACGTCATCTTTCTTTGTCTTTTGTCACAAATTCTTGTACGTTTTTATTTCCAATAAAATAATACTATAAGCAGCAATGATTTATGATTGGCAATGAGTCAGCGATTTTTTGGCAATACTTTTATCGGTATATAATAAGATAACCACTGAATTGGCATTCAGTGGTTATCTTATTGACTATGTTAGTGATAGCTTTCTCGTAGACATAACCTCGTAACCTTCCGGTCTACGATAAAGTTTAAAGCGTTATTTTCTCAACACGAATTTTAATATATTTAGTACAAAATCCTCAATTGGCTCGAGTTCGCATCGTAAGTTGTCTTACAATTGAATGAATAGACATGCAGATACTTTCATCGAGAATAGAATAATTTCGAAAAGAATCCCGAAGGAAGTCACACAAGTATGTTCATGTAAAACAAAATAGTTTTCAATTAACGATTGAATTGAGAAAAGAATCTATAATCCAAAATCAAGTTTTGAGAAGAATGCATCTAAAATTCTAATTTCATATTTTGCGTACAATGAAAAATATTTTTAATAAATAATCCTTTGTACAAAGATTTCTTATTACTCATGGGAATATATTTGTTTACTTTTCCCAGCTGTATTTTTTCTAATGGCTCTAATAATTATTTTGTATCTTTTATCTTATGTATAGCTACATACATATATATATCGTACATATAGAATAGTGAATCGATAAAAAATTAATATTGCCATTTCTTTAAAGTTAAAATTAAGTTTTTGATTACTACATACAGAAAAATACGTACTGTATGCAAATAATAATTACATATTTTAAAAATTCATATATCCGCAAATTTATCAAAAGTTTATTACAAACATTAAATTTATTCAAAGTATATTCAAAATCCTAATAAATTTAATACTTTAATCAAGATTATGAAATTAAAACAAATTAATTTGCTTATTATGTAAAGTCTTTTTTTTTATCAATTTTATAATAGCTTTCAAAAGAAATAAATTTTTATTTTGAGTACCTACATATCTATTAATGAGACTCACACATTTATATTAAGTATATTTTAAGATACTATTATCAAGAATATATTTTTTGTTAAAGATAACCAATAATAATGGAAAGAAAGTTAATTGGGTGATTACTTTTCTTAGTAATAGAATATTTTTCTGTGTACAATCACGTTATTAAACTAATATTGAGAAAACTAATACTAGGATAACTGTCCCAATTACTGTGCCTGTCCCTATTAATGTACTTTTGTATTTCAATAAGCCATAAAGAAAATTAGCATGAATAAATAAGAAAAAATATTTTTTCTTGTTAAGTTAAATTATTAATGCATACACATCGCATACGAAAATAATATTTTATTTTTTTGAGTATTAAATTATTTTAAATATTTTTTAAAAGATGTGAGGAATTAATGTAAATCCAGTAATACGTACCGCTAGATTTTAAGCTTGTCCCTATTAATGTGTCCTGTATTGTAGACCTGTACTGAGAACGTAGTGTTATAAGTGTACATTGAAATAAATATAATGATTTATGTAATATTAAACAATTAGCTTAAATTTATTATCTGTTTTAGTAACTATATGTTAAAATGAGTCAACTGTGGATAGACACACACATTGGAGGCACATTAATAGGGCCATCACCGCTTGGAAGACTCACAATAGAGACAAAACATGTTTTTAATTTTTGTTAAAAACATTATAAAGTATTAACATTTTTTAGATTAAAGAAATATTATAAGAAAAAGAAATAGTTGAAAAACCGATATTGATTACAAGCAGATAAAATTATATAAAGCTACAATATTTAATAGGTACAATAATTAATTCAGTAATAAGCAAGTTGGCTAAAAGGTACATTAACAGGGATAGTTACTCTGTAATAGAAATGAAATCGAACTTTGTCCAATAATGATATCCGTTCTTTGTATTCATAAACCTTCCATTATTCGCGCGAGCAACATCATTGACTTTGTACAATAATTTTTGCATTGTAATCTTTTCTTCGAATGGAAACAGAATCAACAATCAAGTGGTTATTATTCTTGCGGCAAAGTAAAATAGATGAAGCTCGAGTTGTAAGAAGAAATTCTATTACCTTTGTTTTACTAACTTCAAGAAAAATAAGTTGTAAGTTTTACTTTCCAGCACTTGATTTCCTATTTTTTATTTTCTATTGTCTCTTCCCCTAAGAAAATTTAAAAAACTTGTGGCGATAATCAAGTCTGTTTGGAAATATATTATTTTCAGCTATCGATTATTTCTGTCCTATTTAAACAATTAAAAGTTTTAGGCGCTGAAATTAAACTTGACGAGCTGAATATTTGCGGCATAACTTTTCCAAAATGATGCAAGAGTATTAAATATTGTAATAACTGTCTCATTATGCCAATGCATAGTGTTATTCATAAAGTTGCATGCAATTCACTTTGAATTTATGTTGTAGTTTATAATTAATATACATTTATCTTGTAGTTTATAATTAATACACGAATTATACGCACTGACATGATATTTGTTAATTGCTGAAGTATAAATTTGGATAATAACGGAGAATATCGAATTTGGAAAAAAATGTTTAACTTTATAAAACTATTAATTTTAAACTTTTATTAAAAATATTAACTTTATATTTAATCTTTTTCATAATAAATATTAATAAATAATTATAAGGGATATAAAAATTTATTAATTTATTAGCACTACATTTTTGTAAAAAATTAAAAAATATTTTACGCCGTGGATTGTTTTAAAAAGAGTTTTCATTGTGAAACGTAAGAGAGTCTCAAATAGCTAAGACTGTGAAGATAATTTATTCTCTCGTATATGCAATATTTAAACAAATTTTCTGCGAAACATCAATTTGTTCTTAGATATTGAAAAACCGATTCTTCAAGTGATCTGAATACATAAAAAGCAAGTGTATTTATAGAAAGTTTGTTTTCTCTTGTTTCATATTCGTTATTATATTTATCATATTGAGATATTAAAACCGATTTATGTGGTTTTGTTTTTGTAATGTAGAAATAGGACAACGATCACGATAACAAACTATAATGCGCAAGCGTATTTTCCGGAATAATCATAATCGCGAAATCACATTTCATGTCTCGTGTTAGTGTTAGTCTTCGTTCATCTATAATTAGGCTGCATTGTCACCCGACCTGTTTAGCCTGGCATGCAAGCGGATTTAATTTGACAAGCCGTAATCATCGACATGGTAAATTGCAGTTTAATTACCTGCAGTGCGACACTATTTCAGAACTTTGCAGAAAACTGAATATAGAAACAAACAAAGCATATCTATATAATAAAACAGACAATTCGTAGTCTATGTTTAAGCAGCCCTCTAATTCGCATTAATCTTCATTGCTGCGTAAATGTTTAATGGATGCATTGTGTTTTGTCCGGCAAAAATAGATGGAATTGAATTAATTGTATTAGTATCGGAAAGCTCAAGATAATGTCTTTGTTCGACGATAAAAAAATCGTTAATACGATACAAATCTCTATTAGCTTCCGTAAATGAGAGAAATTTATTATAATGTTGCTTTTATTCCTTAAAATTGTGTCTCTCGTATGGAAGCGCTAATTATTTGAAGATAATTACGATGTTTATTTAGTATTGCTCGAATGGATAAAACAAGCGCTTCCATTATACAAAATAAAAACGGAGATTATTATTTGCAATTTTATCATATTTTATTTTTAATACTGAATTTATTGTTCGGTCGTTTTTTAATACATTTTGCTCGTTATCGTGAATATATAGGTTTGCAGCGTAGCGATCGACTGAGGCTATATTAACAGTGCGCGTTATCCGCGATCTCACTACCGGAAACTGTCGCGAAGTTGCTTCGATTAATACTCGTTCCTGCCAGCAGGAAGCTGATGAGTCGCCGACGAACGGTTTCTAGCTTTTTGCTCGAGACTGTAATGCATTTGTAAAACGTGACACGTTTGATAAGTCGTGGTTGCGGAGGTTTAGAAATTCTGCAGCAAATATACACATTCAGATGTTCCGAACAAAAAGTGCATGTAATACATGAAGTAACAAGAAATAGGATACATAAAATATCCAATAATTGTCATCATACATGAAATAATATAAATTATTGTTTAAGTTAAATACATTCGCATATTGTGAAATTAAATTTGTAATAATATCCAGCAGATAAGAATGAAATAAGTAGAATAAAAAGAAATGTAAAAGGGAGAAGTAAGCAGAAATATAAAATGTGTGAAGATTTATTGTAGATAAATCTAGATAGAGAGAAAGAGAGAGACATAAGATACGAATAAGACAAGAAAATATTGTAAGCACGTTGAGATTAGTATGTTAGGGATTAGATTTAAAAAAATAGCAGTATGAAAGATGGATAGATGTGTCAGGTTAAGATAAAAAGTGAACCAAGCCCTCTTCTTGGCTTGTAATGCAGGAACATTTTTGTTGAAATATTATTGACTACAAAATAATTATGTAGAACGCTCAAGCAATAATAATGAGCAATGCTGCAAAAAATTTTGATATTTTAGCAACTAACTTGAGTATTCTACATAATTATTTTGATAGTTTGAGATCTATTTTAGCTAACTTTTTATATACAATACTTCAGTAAAATTGTTCTTTCTCATGGTGAAGGTAATAAAGATTCTTCTTCTTTAATAACATCCAGCAGCCAATGATCTCAAGATCCGTCACGTAATCGAACAAGAAGCAAAAGAAACTCTACAATATAATAACTTAATAAAAACTTTTCGTCACGTAGGATCGTCTCTTTGAACCATCGTGTGCGATCGATCTTTATGTTATTAAAGTACCGCCATCGTCCTATGGTGCAGCGCGCAATTCACCGATTTATGCTAGAACTTTCCTTTGCAGGTATCGACAGTATATCTTCGAGTAAACAACGACGGTGCTGGCGGAGATATTGTTCATAGAAGCGACGAGCATCTTCGGAAACCAATTAAACCAACTGCTTCTCCGCGAGAGCGTATTTCTATCTCGCGAATATCGGAGAATTGGAATTTCGTGATCTTCGAGTCTGACTTACGAATCCAGCGAGAATCAAAGCGGTTCGATTCGAAGCGTAATTCTCTGATCGTGAAATACTCGAATTTGACGAGAGAATATAAGATGATGCTGATGCAGGAGCCTGGTTGGAAGCTAGAACGCAAAGGTTCGGGAGCGCAGGTGTTGCGCAAGGACGGATCTCACTTCAAAAGCAGCACCGCACGCGTATGTTTCCGATGTGACGTAGAAATCCGGGAATTCGTGCCAGATGAAGATTATGGTGTGACGGAGAATATGGAAATGGAAACAGCCGCAAGTCCCTTGGCAATGCTGTCCAGTTGCGTAGCAGCGCTCTGCGTCACCATCCTCTTGCCTTGGCTCCTGATCGGAGGTTAGATCGTGCCGCTTTTATCGTCGATCACGGCGAGACGTCGTCAATCGAAAGATTTGCATCGGCAATATCATCCCTTCGACTGATCTATGAATGTACTTGGATATTGGTATTCACCTATTCTTACGTCGGTGGTCCCAATAGTTGTTGAAGGTATATGATTAACGATGGTTGTAACGATGATTCCTTGGGTCGAATATTCTCAAGGAATGTTAAGATGTTATTGTATGTTATAGTATTTATAATCATGAACACTGTAATACTTTCGGGCATTTTTTTTCGGTTGCAAAGGTTCTTCACGCTTGAATGTCGACCATTGCATTCGAGGAAAGACATTTAAAATTGCACGAGATTCGATTAATTGTTCGACTGATAAGTCGAAGCAAAGAGATAAATAGGTTTTATCGCTGTGATTATGTATATAATTTTTAATTACATTCGATTGATATGATAATCCAAAAGTTTATTCTTATTAATTTTTGTATATCATAGAGCATTGAAAATTCTGTAAATTTACGACGAAATAAAATTTTTTTTACAAAAAAATTTGAATGTGTCGAAGAGACTTCTGATTTAATATGTGATGAACGAGGTCATTTTTATAACATAGCGAGTTGGTAGAGATTTAGAACTCATTAAAAAAATATGAAGCATTAAATATTTTTTATTATGATAAAAAAATTTGTTAAAGCAACTAAAAATTTTATAGATTCAGCAAATCTATAACTATAATGCACGAATAGACAGTTTTCTATGTTGAAGTGGCAAAGTTATATAGCTGAATAAAATTAGCGATTATAGTTAATTGTATTTATTGTAATGGCATAACAAATTTGTTGATACAGCAAAAATAACTTTCTACAAAAATAAATTTAACATGTAAATTAAAATTTTGAACAAAACATGCTAGCTAAGATGGCGCATACATTTGTTATTGTAATGAAAAAAAACTTATTGCAATTTTTATTGTAGCAAAAAATTAGTTGACTAGTATATTAATAATTGCTTACAGACATAACTACAGAGTTGACAACGTTATCTCATAAAAATAATTCGTTACCGTTACCGTTCTTCTTTTTCCTAAAAAGTAACTCGTTATTGTTATTGATTTATAAAAGTAATTTGTTACCGTTACCGTCACTCAAAATGTAAGTCGTTACTTTTTTTCTTGACACTAACAGAATATAGCGTTTTTCATTGGCAAAACTTGTGCTTATTTATTGTTAGTGCTCATTAAAACCGTTGTACGCAACTCTAATTTAAACTTTGACTCGTTTCTATATTTTTATTAACCATACATCTTTACGTCGATTGTACAGCGGCTTTAAAGTGCACTGAATGCGCATTAGTTCTTCCAATGAAAAACGCCATTATATGTAGATTCTTGCAGTAACTAAAAAATATGTTAGAATTCTATTTTTTAGTAGAACAAAACTGAAAAATTAAAAAAAATATATATATATACCCCAAAAATGTAACTGCGTTATGAACATTATTCAGAAGAAAATGTAACGTTGTTATTCAAGCGTTACCAAAAAAAGTAACTTATAACGTTACAAATAACGCGTTACTTGCCAACCCTGCATAATTGCTTCGTTAAATTACGAAACTTTTTAGCTGTGGATGTTGAACTCGTGTAACAATCTATAGCTTTGCTGAATCACCCAATCTATTCTTTCTGTGGATAGAGTAAGTTGTAGTATTTAATAAAAAACACAAGTAATGTTGATGTTTGGATGTTATCCAAGATTTTCAATGTTATAAATAACGAGAATATTTGACTGATTTTTTTTTGTAATTATATAGTTGAGCGAGAGTTACTTGTAAGATATGTATGTCGATCTTATAATACGGTACAAAATTTAACATGATTGTATTTTGCTAAATGTTATGCAATTCCAGTTTTGTAAAAATTTTGTATGTATAATAGAAAGGCGATGAAATAATGGGTGAAAAAAATTTTTTAAATTATCCATCGTTGGCAGGTGATTGATTTCAACCTACACTTGCTACAGGTGGCACAAGCGATTCACTTCTCTTCCATCTCCCCTCTATTCCAGAAACCGCCGATTACACCGTCTGCTGTTAAGATTTAATGGTCCCGTACAGCAGCTGTGCTACTGCAGATTTATCCTAGCCATTTTATGGACCTCGCTGTATCGTTAGGTTTTAGATTAAGAGCCGAGTAACAGCCGGATATACGAATTTGCAAGACCACGTGGACATGCAGTTGAACTATAAAGCTGGAGAGGGTGTGGTATAATATACATATATCCTGCTCAGTACAGAAATCGTCGGTAAATTTGAAACAACTTGATCGCACGGAATATTCCTATCATTTATATTCTGTCGATGTCACGAAGCGACGGTTGAAGAGGCGGCAGCCTCATATACCGGATAAGCTGTCTTTTTGTAGCACAATTTCTATGTCGGCATATAACATTATTTCTTTTTCTTTTCAATTCTATAATGCCACTTTGTGATGTAAAACACAGTACTGAATATGTGAGAACCTTGAAGTAATAATAGTATAATCGGAAAAAGAAAGATTTTAGCACAGTTTTCATAATTAATTTTTCTCATACGTCATTTACGAGATACATATGTATATTTCTGATTAGCTAGAAGATACACCTACAGCGTCTGCCAAAAGTTTCCGGTCAAACATTTTATTATTTTACCAGATAAAAAATCTTTATAAAGATATGATATATTAGTTTTTTTATGCTTTTTAAAATATATTTTGATATTTAAAATATATTTTAAGTTTATTATAACAAGCATTTTATTAATTTACGATAAAATAAAAAACCAGATTTATAAAAATTATTGTAAAATTATATATTGACCGGAAACTTTTCATGATTATTGTAAATCATAGAGTAAGATAAAAGAATAAGGAATAGTAGAACAAGAAATAGGAATGGTATTGAGATAAGAATAAGGGGAATAAAGATTTAAAATTTGTACGAATTTCTTTGATTCGCGCGCGCGCGCATGCATTACACATTGCATTAGATTTATATCCTTTATAAATTAATTATATATCAGAGTTATTTTCTCTCACGATATATCCAGCAATCGATTACAGCACAAGCGAGATATACAAGTCTAATTTTGTACGATATTATCCGTATTATATACGATATTCCACCGATATGCGTTTCATCAAATTTACATTAAGGAAGTCTTGAAAATTGCCAGTAAACTTGTCAATAGCAGCAGTGATGTTATTGGTGAGACAAAGTTCTCGAGACTTTGAACTCTTGGAGGATACCATCCTCCAAAGAAAGTCTAATGATGAGCTGTGTTAAAGAATGCCAACAGTAATCGTCTGTAACGTAATCATTCATCGAACATCTGATCTATGCACCGCAATTCATCGTGAACCGACACCGTTATATCATACAGTCATAGCACTCGCACGAGTATCCGATTATGATATAACAGTCTGAAGGGCGAGAAATAGATTCTTTTAAAGATGACGTCGACGTGACAATAAAAACCGTACCGTTACGCGGACTTGTAGGGATTCTTGCGCGAGTGATATTTTAGCACTTTATTTTGGAGTAATATTCTCGACAAAATCATAATGTCTTGCACAATTTTCGTCATTTTGTGTGATGTTGTGTTTTAGAAGATATTAAATTAATACTTGAATTTATTGAATTTTGTACACGTGATACTTTGTTCTTTTTCCGAATATCGAGTGAAATTTTACAAAATTACATTTCAATTGGAAGTTCATTTCCATAATTTTACAGTACCATCTCTACAATATTTTAAATTATAATCCTATTTTATATTATATATACAATAATTTTATATAATAATTTTATCACGAAATTATTTGAAAATTATTTAAATTTATTTAAATTTGTTTGTAAAATTGATCCTGATTATTGAATCCTGAATATAATACGCGTGATGTATTTTTTAATCCGTAACATATCTTTTTGTGACGTTAAAGAAACATGTAAATTCTTAAGACCTACTATAGTTTTTGATTATTAGTTTTATTTTTTAAAGAATTTTTTTCTAGTTTAATTAATTCTTAATCTGTGATGTAGCTATTTTAAAGACGCAAATCAAAGATTACTGATAGAATTTATTGCTTCTAAATTTTTTTAGATATAAACATGTATTGAAAATTGGAAAAAAAAACATTGTTTTACATTATTCCTAGACTTATCAGCATTCATATGTTCCAGTTATGGCTTAAATAAGGTATCGAGTGGTTGAAATTCACTCGATATATATATATCTCTTCCTTTTACTATATACATAAGACGTACATAAGGGATTTAAATTGTTCAGTCTCTCTTCTCTTCACAAATCCGTCTATATTTTTCGCGCATATTTCTTTGGCCTCTAGTACACTATTGCCGGTATTGGTTCAAGGACCATCACTACCGTTATGTGAATGTCTTCCGTTTGTCAGTGGCCATAAATTCGTTACGCGTGGTCTTGCGTGCTCGCACGAGTTTACGTCCGTCGGTCGGTGCGACCCTTGGAACGTATCTCGAGTTCTACTTTACGGACCGGAAAGATGGATGAGAGCTTCGCGGGAGGCGAGTTGAAATAAATTTCAACGAGACGAGAGGGACTCGCGGTAAATTTTTTTCGTTTAGCGAAACCGAGAGAACCTCAAAGGAAAAGCCAGTTTCTACTAGCTTATGTGTGCGCGGGAAACTTACTCCTTCTCTCTTTCGCTCGTGCAAAGGTATCGGCGAATTCTATTCCTGAAGCGAAGGAGGTTTTGCTTCGAACGAGGCTGGTAATACTAAAGAGACTCTCCCTCCGACCCACCTCTTTAACCTCCAACGGTACTGCACTTCGTGCAATTTCACGGAAGATTGCAACCGCTCGCTGAGATTTTGTATATTTAATCGACAATGCTGTTCGAAAATGCCGGAATAAGAGAGAAACTTGCAGACAGGTACTTTCGTGACGAACGCAACGTGATTATAAGCCCGCGAATATACAATACTTCTGGAAATAATTATTATATTATTATAATTTGATAATACAGAGGGAAAATTTAATTAATTAGAAAACTCAATAATAACACGCGTATCTCTCTATAAAATAATAAATTAGCGTTTTTGACATCGCTCGTTTATTGCATTAATATACTACTTCAATATTTATCAATTTTTGATTCACTCGACGTACGGAATTATCAGCAAAAAACATATACTTTATTATCCGACTTGTTCGAAGGTTTATTTACGAGTAACGTCTAAGAAACTACTGTCGTTTGCAATATTAACTTACAAAATATCCTATAGATATAATATTTTATTATATGTCATACCGGTTGAAATTGTCACAACGACTAGATGTGTGTTAAATTTTTCAAGCTTGCGAATAAAAGTTTTCTCGAAACGGATAAGGATATATCGAGAAAAAATTTAGTTTGTTTGCGAAATGGTGATCGTGAGATAAAATACGAAACTACGTTGATTTTATTAAGCAGTCGTAAAAAGGCGGGTTTAATCGATGGATTATTCAACATTACGGTACTATATAGCGTAGCAAATAACGTCGCCCTTTTTCTCCTCGTTGTAAATGCACAGGTAGAAATTTCGTTTGGCGAGATAGCGCCGGTAAATCAAAGTTTATTCGTCGTGTAAATCGCATACACGCAGTAAAGTGCCATCGTCAAGCGGCGACAATGCTGTTGCAACAAATTGTGTGCGCATACGAGATTTGGAAGTAAACCGTGTATATAAACGCGATTATGCATGGGGCGTCGTAGACCGCGAGAATGTATAATCAACAACGTGCTATTTGTTTATGTTCCTAATAAAACGCAAACAAGATACAGCCATTATTTCCGCGTCAGTTTCCCCTCGTTCATTACAAATCCGCAAATTATTATCTCGAAAATCTGTTGCAGAAACTGCACAAATATATCTTTACTTAATTATTTTTTACATAATTATTACACAGAAAGGATGATTTTGCTGAAATATCTGAAAGTAGATACAAATCTGAAAATAGTTTCGTTCAAAATAATTGTGTAATACGCTCAAGCAACGATAATGAGCCATATCGCAAAAAGTTTTGATATTCTAGTAACCAGCTTGGACGTCTTACATAATTATTTTCAACTCTATATCAGCTTGTTCAGATATTTCGGTAAAATCGTTCTTTCCATAAATTTATATATATATATATATAAATGTATTTATGTTGCATCTTGTTATAATCTTTCAAAATTATTTTAAAATACTTACTTTGATTCGGGATATTATATTAGAATGGATAATTTTATCGAAAGGATAAGATTCTCATTAAAACATAATTCTTTAATTTTGCTATAATTGATGCATACAGTGAGTTTTATTAGAAGCTAAACGGTTAAAAAAGATTGATCCGTGTAATTTTTCATTCAACTTTTTCTTCATCGGCCCGATTTATCCATTTTATTTTAAGACGCATCCTCTTTTCTTCACTTACTTTCCAGAATAAAGCCGTACGCATTAGATCTTCGTAGCTGTCAATCTATTTACTACGCGCGAACACACTGCGAGACGCGCACACGCAATTACCTACTTACAGCTCATTTAAACTATTTCCCAATCTTCAATCTTGCGTACATGCAATGGTAGTTGAATCAAACGAAGACTTATGGATACAAATGTCGAATGGATTGAAGTAGATCGATAATAGCGATCTCTCATTTTCAGTCAATTGGAAGCGTGTATAGAGAAATCTCAGCAAAGATTTTAGTAATATATCTTATTGTCAGTAACACATTTTGTGTCACATTTATATTTGTTTAATGTGCAAAAAACGTTCATTAAACATTATCAAATTTAAAAATTTAAAGTTTGTAAGATTATAGGTATATTTAAAGTTTATAAGTTTACATAATTATAAGTTTAAAAGTTTTTTATGATTATATAATTTATATAATTACATGATTATGTAAATTATTAAAATTTTATAAGAAAAATATGTGAAATTGATTATATAAAATCTAACTTTTTATATTAATTTGGTAAGATTAAGAAATTCGACTATGTTTTGTGCAAATAATTATTAGATATTAATAGGATTGATAAAGAAATTAACATTAATGTTTCATATTTAACGTTATTTGAAATATTATTTCATCCTTTCTGGCCAAATTATTCGGCATGTCGTATCTCGTATAATCTGAATCTTATGAATAAGTATATACCAAAACATTCGTGTCTCGTCTATTATAATCCAAAATAGGACTGTCGTGATGTCACGTCGTAACGAGAAGATATAAAGGCCATACAAAAATTTTGTGTCGCCGTCGCGTGGAATCGTTAATGAATCCGTCGCGGAACGCCCACGCTCGTGGATGTCTTAATGAAGGCAATCCAATTAGTATGCTCGCGGACAATGGAGGAGATCACGGGAAGTACGAATCTCTTCTGTACCTGCGTCCCTTTCGTTTCCGCCTCGCGCGACTTGCATTCTCAGCGTTCCGTCGTGCGAAATATGCGCATGCTTTATAGGGCCGAATGAAATGTGTGAATTTAATTTCTCGGTGCTGCGGGCGCATAAATATGCATCGCGCAGCGTTCGCTCCTTCCCCGCGCTCTGATTTATGCGCGATTACGCATTTACTGGAGCGGCGACGGATTTCGCTGACCGAGGACGGTCAGCGGTTTCGATATTGTCCGGATGAACGGGAGGAAACGACATAAAAGGACCGTTGAAAACTTTAATCGATAGCCGAGCTCTCTCCCGATAATCCGATCCACCGGACGGATCAATTTATCCTACGGCATCTGCACTTCAATATAGATTCCGTACTACGGTTATTTTATATATAACAAAAACTAGCAGTAGTTTATCTTTCTTTTTCGGTATATAAAAAAAAAATTGGAAAAATTTTAATAATATAATTTTTTAGTTTTTGTATTATGTTATACCGAAAAAAAAAGTTTTTAATATTTGTGATTGTAATTATGGTTGTTACTACTAGAATGTGAGTAATAATAATTATATGTATACTTCTATTAACAAATACAATATATATATATTTTTATTTTATTTACATACAATTGGTGTGAAAAATAACTACAAATTATAATAATATTATTGCGGTTGTCACGATTACTTTATAATAAGAATTATAACTAAGATTTTAAAACAATATTAATTTATAAAAATAATTGCAATTACGGTAATTTAATTAAATACAATTTATAGTCATTTTTAGTGCCAGTTGTATATTTAAATAGGTAATTGTCGACAGAACTATGTATATAATTATTATTAACATATATTATAGCGGCAATAACCACAATATGTAACATGTAATTACAGTTACAAATCCCAAAAGCTTTTCTCTCAGTGTAGACATTTTAGTATTGACTTAATTATATTACATTGGATTAGCAATTTAATTATTTTAATGTAAATATATTTGTTTTGATGTTTGATTTCTTTTGAAATCCTGTTGAAAGCTTTCGATTAACAGTAAATGATAAATGATAAAATCAGTGCTATTAATTTTTCTCGTGTCACGAAATGTATTTACATTTGTATTATGTATTGTGTCAAATAAATCGATTTCCGCGGAAGATGTTATATATAGGACTCCGGTATGTGCATCCTTTTCTCTTTCGGAGCACGTATGACGACCATGAAAGTTAATCAAGCAGTCCGACGATCGAGTATTAAATTAATCTCAACACGTTGTGTGCAGAGCTCGCGAGAATGTAACCAGCCGCGACGGCTGATTGATACAAATTGGCATCAATTTCCTTCAATTTGCGAGGGATCTCGTAATTTTACGACGCTAGGCGGCATCTGCCGACGTTGTCAGGCGCCTCGCCGGTGGCAAAGCATTTCTCTCGCACACTGTATGGATCGATGTAAACTGGTTGTGTCGTCGGTAAAGCCGGAGATATCATTTCGAAATCACTTGGATAGGTGGCGCACATGCCACCTCTTTTCTCGACAGCTCGCTCGTGCGAGGTTTCTCTTTTCTTGTTTTGTTATTTATATCAAAATTTATATCTTTGTCCGAATTGTTAATTTATGCTGATTGTGAATGCATGCTACATTGATCGACAGTGTTGCATTTGGCTGTGAGATTAAATATCTGATCTGGTTTTACATTGATTAAAATTTAATTAAAAATGACAATTTTTGGTTTTACATTAATTAAAATTTAATATCTGAATCTCATTAATTTTAATAATATTCATCATTTTTAATAGCATGTAGACTAGTCAAATAATTCTTTTTTCTCGTGATAAACGATTGAACGTGAATTATTCTTACGACATTTAATTTTGTTGATTTAAATTTCAAATACATTGATTCAAATATGTAAAATGATAAGTTTTATATGTTATAATTTTCTTATTTTACTAATAAAATTGTATTTTCTTTTTCAGTTGCCGGATCTAAACAACCTCGATGAAAAGGTGAGTTTATGATGAAAATGGCATCGCAATAATACGTGAGTTTACATGAGATATGCATACAACACTTATAAATAAAAAAATTATTTTTTACTGTTATGTTAAAAAACGATGAAATCTGGTATAAACTTCAATATAAATCTCAATATACGTGTGCAATAATTGTAGAATATACGAATAAATTATTCGATAGGTGATAGCTGTACGTTAAGTATAGACTATGCAGTTTAAATATAGACGAAGAGGAACGTTTTACAGATGCTTAAAAATTACAACGTTAACTTCATACAAAAAATTATGTACTTATTATCATAAATTGACTATCATCATAAACTGGCGAGTCAACGAAATGCAGGCAATGAGAATGCAAAAAATTTTTACGACTTTGATTTAACTGACGTCTACCTTATCATTTATCTATTTTTTTCCACTATTAATCGTCTCCAATTAATCATAATACGGTACTAGGTATCTAAATCTTAGCTCTCTAATCTTTTATTTTTACATTACGTTGGTTTTTATACTTTATAGAGAACTTACTGTAGATAATTTATGTCACATTAGATAAGTTAAGATTGAGTTTGAAACGATGTTTCATTGTTTTTTTTATCGAAGATTTTTATAAAGGCATTTGGAATCAAAGTTTTTCAATATACATTACGAATCAATATCATAGAAATTTTGCGATGCATGGAAATTGAAAAACTTTACATTAAATCGCATATTCTTGACGATTATTGTTTACACATATAAATTTTACTTGTCAAAAACAATCTCCGTTTTATTTAAAAATTTGAAGGGCAAGTGGAAAGAAAGTTGCGTAGACATACCAATGCAAAAATAATCAATCCACGTCGAGAATGGTAAAATATCAAGTCTGTGAAATCTATCGTTACTTTTCTCTCTTTGAATTCATTTTTCTTCAGGAGGATTCTTCAGATCTTCCCGTACCTTCATTTATATTGAATTTTTACGTAAAACGACATTCGCGAAAGAATGTTCCGCGAAGTCACGTTCGCATATCCGAGGAATGTCAGTCATCTCGTATCGGTGATAGGACCACCTGTTCCGAGGAATTGTACACGGCGTCTGAGAGGAATGTCGCGTAATAGCTATCCTAATTATATGTGACACCATATCGATTTATTAGAATTTGGATCGTTGTTACATATGACAATAGTCATTAGTCTTTTTATAATTTAGATATTTCTTTTTACATAATATGTGTGTGTTTGACATGTATATGGTGAATGCAAAAAGTATTCGTACAGGGAAGATTTTTATAAGGAAAGCTTTATTCATCGAAAATAAACAATAATTAGCATTTATTAATAATGAGTACGTTCCTAATATAAACGAAAGACTTCGCAAAAACAATCCTATTTATAATCTTAGAAGTAAATTTTTTGACTGCACGAATACTTTTTTGTGCATCTAAATAACAATTTTCTATTTTTCCTAATTAAGATAATATATTTTAATTATTCCACATTATTTTAAGTAAAATGATTTTGAGAAATATATAATCCATTTTAGTCTTTATTAATAAATTGCTAATTAATATTTATTTTCTAAAATTAAGGTTTTTTTTCAATATCGTCTTGTATAAATACTTTTCGCATTTACTGTATATTACATGCTTCTATAATTCAATACATTTCTTTTTTATTTTTTATGCATATAATAATGCATGATTAAAGTTGCATTATAAAATACAATTTAAAAGCGTGTAATAGTCATTGGCTATTGATAGGTACATAACTAATAGAGAATTTCTAGGAATTAGGAAAAAACAGACCACTACGTCAAAATCTAAATTAATCGCGTCAATTAAAATCCTTGTTCTCTCGTATTCTTCTAATAGAATCATCACAACTCCTCCACGTAATCCGTCATTACGGTGTTGCGTAATTTAACTCGAAGAACGATTCTCTTCAATTTTACCGCGGCATTGCTCATTATCCAATTTCAGCGGTCGTCGAACTTCTCGCCGTCGAAAATTACATGCGTTTATTCATCCGTTCCGGTGTACAAGGCCCAATTTTCATATGTTGGCACGTGGGTTTATATTTGGACGCGAATCAGCGGGTGGTTTTGTTCACGTTCACGAGTCGAATACAAGAATCACGTGTGCGTAATTCCGCGTGTTCTGGTTACGACCTTCGTGCGATCGTACTGCTACCGCGGGTCCGCTACCGGGTAGCATAATCGACTGTACTCTCCTTTGACATGCAAATGACGCCATGCAGCATTCAAATTGTAGCCCGTATTCCGGCATAGTTGCGCACTGACTTTTGTATTGTACAACAAGCACGGTGCGTTACACGGCAATAAAGCGGCTTTATTAGATTGCATTTCGTAGTCGCGTGTTGCTGGATCTTTGTGGAAAAGGGAAATAATGATCCATACACTATTGTTACATGAGAATGGCAGGAGGTAATCCGTAACTAAAACGCGAATTTTCTCTCCCTGACATATACATATAATTCGTATTCGCGAATTAGCAGATTAGAATAAATATATTATAAATACATTGACAATGAGAGCATAATGTACTAAATTTTATTAATAAATATTTGAATAATATATATTAGCTGAATATTTACTAAATGTAAAAAGATATTTATTTGGTACAAGAATCGTTAATTTGATTCATCATTTTTATTCGACTTTGTAAATATTTATTTATCACAAATAAATGTTAAGTTAATAGTGAAACAAATATTTATTCAAATTTATTACATTTTTTCAGTACGATGGAAACATAAATTGTTAATGAAATTAAACAAGATATTTAATTAGCGCCGAACAATAATCCAATTTGAATTACAAACCAGCATTGAACATAAATAAAGTCGCTATTAAATAAAAGTAATCTCTACAAATTATTGTCTATTTAGGTGCTTACATGGCGTATTGGATATAATTTAGACTGTACTACTACTCGACAGACTATACGTCGGATAGATACCGGCTATAAATAATATATATTTGTACGCGTACATGTACATGTGCTCGTGATTAAATCAAGTGTCATTAGCGATCAGTTAATGTCCGAGATGAACATTCTATTGGTGTCTGCCGCGCAGTGCGCACGTGACTGTTGCATTTGTAGGTGCAAAGTGTCGTTGGCCAATGAGGTCGTCGATCGTTCACTGTCCAATCGAGTATTTTCATGCGTATCTGACTGTAATGGTGTAATATTCTGCGTATATTCGCGAGATCGAGGTTAATTGATAATATGGATTTAAATGTTTTGTGTGTGTGAATCATTAAAATTTTGGAATATTAATGTTAATGCAATTTTGGTGTAATAACTGATTATAGAGGAATAAAAGAATATTCTTTTTTTTTTCATGTCTTTATTCTTTTTCTGTAATCAATTAAAAAAAATGGCAAATTTATAGTTATGTCATATATTACAAATAAACGATACGTTGTTGATTATAACAATTTCAATTATATGATTTTTAACACAACGTTCACGGATTTTTTTCAATTAATCTCGTCGACAGATTTTTAAATGAATTAAGGCTGCACGATGCGCAGCGTTCAATCATTACTCCTCGTCTCTCTTGTATAAACAGTTCCAACCATACATGTATCCTAATAGCATGATACTCGAGCATCGCTAGATGCGGTTATTCACTTTTATGCACAGTAAAGTCGTTATGGAAGTTTGAGGGGAACAGGCCAACGCGTACTTCGTACGCTTTCCATGCATATATAAACTGTAGTTTCCTAATGTACTTCTAATGTTCTTGCGCAAACGGTTATTTCTAACACAGTGCGGGCGACAAGTCAACACTTTTAGCGTGAATAGTCGTAACACGATGTGTGAACATTTGAACGATCGACGAACTGCCATTATCGTTTTTAATGCACTGCTTGCATTATTAATTTAAATCTTTTCATTACTAATATGAAACGCATACATGATATAGAAATTAATTTCTAAATGTTAAAAAAATTAAATAGCTTTTTGCCATTCGAGGTAAACAATGTTGCGAGACTAATAACTTTGCTTGTAATTGCGTAACGATATGTTTTCGATCGCGAGCTCGGAATTGCTACGGAGAGACCGGTTCTAAACTCTCGAACTCGGAATCGGTTTGAACTGGCTTGGAAGCCATTATGTCGATTTGATGTCAATGTGAGAATAACTTCAGTCTTTGTTACGCAATGATTTGTTTTCAAACGCGAGTTACATGAGTTCGCATTTGAAAACAAATCATTGCTGAAGAGCTCGAGTCTTCCGAGCTTGGAATCGGTTCTTAATCGATTCCTTATTGAGTTAGAAAACCGCACTTCGCTGACTATGCTGTTTCCACGATTTAGTACTCATGCGGTAATAACTTTACTTGGCGTTGCTTAACGATTTGTTTTCGCGCTCGGGGTGGAATTGCTTGCTGTAAGAAAGAGGGATCGAGCGATACCGGTTCGCGATATATGCGACGTATTTGCTTGGCCGTAGGTGCCTTTTAGAGGTTGAGAAAATATCTGTGTCACTCGTGACGATCGGTCGCCGCCGTTGAGCTTGCCAGATACTTGTTGTAAACAGGATGGAATTCACATGCAAATTTAAGTTAACGCTTATGCGACAGGAGTATCGAGGTCGCGGGCTTAATTTTCGTCCGGTGATTTCAGGAGGCTGCGAAAGAGTAAAAGTGCTCTCGCGTTTTTCGGTGAAAGTACGGACGGTGGGCTCCGCAGGATCGATCAATTGGGTTTAACGACTCCTCCGAGTAGACACATTCGCCATTCCGAGCACGGGCTCGAAGTTGCGCGATTAACCGGGATGATTATGACAGCGGAGAAAATAACTTTGCCAAAGTAACATCCGACAAAATTGATGCTCATTATTCTTCAATGACTTCACGATGACGACGTGCGAGTAGTTGTAATTAGATCGATCACTTTTCATTATGGTATCGTAACATTACCTATAATATTATCATCTTCGATAATGATACAATGTATATACGGTCATTAAATGAATATCC